GTTTTCCCATGGCAGGAAGAATCTTCTGCTGTTAGGTGTTCCACCGAAGATTCTGTTTCTGGAAATGCTTCTCAGGTGGAGTGGTCTGAGGTTGGGGTTAACATTGAAGATCCGGGGAAGCAATCCAAGGCTTTGCACCATAGGGACTTCTCATCCATTTCTATTGCTAGTTTTGGTAGTTCCTTGTGCAATTTCCAGCTTCCATCAGATATCAGCAGCATATCTATCGGTGGTTCTGAACCAAACTGTTCTGGCCACACACCGGCCCTAAGCAAAGTCTCAAAGGGTTCAGACTTAATGCCTATGTCGACTATAGATGATGATTCTGGCAGCTGTCAAACTGGTTTGAGTCAGAGCGAGGTGGAGATAGAGATTCTGTGTGGACTCGCTGATCTTCCATGGGAAGCTCAGAGAGAGGTTATCGAACGTGCAAGAAGTGATATTGAGCACGATAGTCAAGTTTTCCGGTCTTTGTCTCTCCCGGGATTTCTTGAGCCACTCATCGCATATCTGAAGAATGCCCATGACTTACATTGTGTTGAAGACATAAGGGCTGGGTTGGATTTGCTACTTATGTTTCTCAGCAAAAACAGGTACTAAGTTTGTTCCTTTCTTCTCTAACACCGGTCAGATGTATACATTTTTTTTTTCTGACATTCAGTTCAGATACAACCGAATAGAATCATTTGCTTCTGTTTCATTCATGCAGAAGGGCTATAGAATCTTTGAACGAAGATGCTTTTCGTCTCCTTTCGAACTTTCTTGACTCAGAAGCAGCTCCAGAAGCTCTGAACGTATTGGAAGTGTTGTCTGGTTACCCGCATGGTGTGTCCAGACTAACATCGTCATGTTCTCTATCATCCCTTTTGAAGATCTTCGAATCCCAAACCGGGGATCTGCAGGATAAAGCCATCATTACTCTGAAAAACCTGTCCTCGAGCAACAAGATATGTCTGGAAATGGTGTCTCTCCGGTTTACCCAGAAGCTGACATATTTCTTACAACATGACACACTCAGGAAACACGCTCTCATCATCCTAAGAAATCTCTGCTACACCGAGAAAGGCAGTGATTCTGTTGCCACAACCGATGGTTGCTTGGCTTCGGTAGCGGAATTACTCGAGTCAGGCAGCCATGAGGAGCAAGAGAACACTATTGCCATCCTCCTCAAGCTCTGCATGAAGACCGAGTACTGCTATCTGGTGATGGACGAGGGCATCAACGTTATCCCCTCACTCGTTTTCATATCCAAGAACGGTAGCGATGAAGCAAAGGCAAGTGCATTTGAACTGCTTAGGGTTCTACATGACGTAGATTTCGGCAAAGGGCAAGGATCTTCTTCACGGGAAGAACCAGAAACTCTTCAAGAACATGATACAAACTCAGTTCAGGCGATACAACCGCAATCTCATAAGAAATCTGGTATTTTCAGATTCAAAATCTACGTCCCTGGTCTCAAGAAGAAGATATGGTGATCCACATCTTGGTGTTACACTTGGCATTCTGTCCTGTCGCAAGAACACTTTGATTCGGGATGTTTGGGGAACCGGTTTTGATCGGCAATTCGGCTTCAGTTCCCAACCTAAGCTAGTTGCTAGTTTTTTGTTCACTATATACATATATAGGTATGTGTATGCATAGGTTGTGTATATCATTGTTCATGTGAAAGTGTCTATAGTTTGTAATGTAGTAGGAAGAAATAGAATGCCCCATACCTGCACATGTAAATAATATATGCAATGCAACGAGGTATTTATTGTGTGTGAAGTATACGTTGATTTATCGTTATAGGAGATGGAAGAAAAAAAAGATGAAATTATTTATATTAAAAAATATTTAAATTATTTTCCAAAGCTGGAATAGCTCAGTTGGTTAGAGCGTGTGGCTGTTAACCACAAGGTCGGAGGTTCAACCCCTCCTTCTAGCGTTGTTGTTCTTTTTAAAAGTTCAATTTCAGATTTTAAATATTTTTTTGGCCAACTTGGGAATGAACACGTTCTCTACAGAGGGCCATTGGTTTTGTTGGAAATGTCTTGAGGTCGTCATTTGCACGGTACATCCAACTTACCAGGCTGACGACAATCGGAGCCTGTGAAGGTATGTATGTATGTATGTATGTATGTATGTATGTTCACCTGACGAGTAAGCTGTCGGAATCAGGCAGAGAAGGATTGACGTTGTCTGAAACTGCACCAGAAGAATGTGATTTGGGAGGATGCTGATGATCCGTGTACTTGTGCTTCATGTTATAATTAAGACCATCTGATTATCCAGAAGAAGAAGAAGAAGAAGAAACCCTGTTGTTGATGTGACTCGGAGAATGTTATCTTGTAGTAATAGATGGTTGATCCTCTCACAAACTTGAAAGGGCAAAAGAACACACTCCACATGGTAGGTTGTGTCGCTTGGACCCCCACTCTCACCATCTTGTTCCCACCCCCACCCCCCTTTTTATAATATCAAAACTCTGTCCCTCTCTGTCTCGATTCCGTATCTCGTCTCCTGTTGCTGACTGCAATTTGTTTAGCCTTTAGGGATTTTACAGTTTCTGTGTCATGAAACCCGTTTACTCTCGTTAGTAGCGACCGGTCCAAACCCATATCAAACAAGACATTGACAATATGTCTCTACAAGGGTCCTTTGTTTTTTCAATCTGGTTTGTGTAAACAGATTGGCATCTACCGTCAATCAAGACAGATAAGGAAAAGGTAATAAAGAAATGGGCAAAACACTAAACATATGAGGTGGGGGGACCTGTTTGTGTGTTTGTTTGCTTTCTATTTATAGATATGAAGAATGATACCAATGGAATGGGTTAGTCTCTCACCTCTTTCAACCAACTCCTCCCCTACCAAAGTCCCTTCACTCCTCGTAACTTTTTCTCTCTTGCTGCTTGTACCAGTTTTCTCACTTTAAGATCACACAGACAAGTAAGGAAAAAACCACAGCAGAAACAATGTTGGAAGGTCTTGTCTCTCCTGAAAGCTTGTACTTGAGCTCCATGGACATGTCTGCACTCAAATGGCTGCAGCATCAACAGCAAGTGGTGTCTCAGAACAGAGACAAAGGAACTTCGCCTGAACTTCTTCAGTTCCATGGCTCAAATGGAAGAGAGCTCAGAAGGGTTGAGAGTTACTTGGGAAACGATGACGAGTTGCAGACTTTCAGCCATTTCCAGATGGTTGATTCGGTTTTTGGATCGAATCACAACACGGGTCTCGTTCCTCTACACGATGCCATTGATGGCTGCATTTCAAGGACTAACAGCTGCCGGATGGAACCCGTAGATACAACGGGGGTAATGTTGAAGAGGAACGGAGAAAACAGAGGAACGGCCATGAACAAGAGAAAATCCGAGGTTTGTAGCTCAGAAAGATCAAATCTTGGGCACATAGATATGTTGATTCCATCTGTTTGAATTATGGGTCTGATATTTTAGTCCTCTTTCTTGGTGTTTCCTCCGTTCAGATTAAGACAGGGGAAGAAAACACAGACAAGAAGATCAAAATGGAGGGGGAAGCAGAATCAAGCATGAAAGGAAGATCCAACATTAGCAACACAGAAGCATCGTCGGACACTTCAGACATCCAAAAGCTCGACTACATCCACGTTAGAGCTCGACGTGGTCAAGCCACTGACAGACACAGCTTAGCGGAAAGGGTAACGTGTTTCAGCCATAAATGGACCCGCAAAATTCTAAGCACCACAAGAAAGAAGGATTTCTAGGGGGTTTTTTTCTCGTGATTTTCTGACTCGTGGATGGAATTTGACAGGCGAGAAGGGATAAGATAAGCAAGAAAATGAAATGCCTGCAGGATCTCGTACCGGGTTGCAACAACGTCACTGGCAAAGCCGGTATGCTTGATGAGATCATCAACTATGTCCAATCTCTCCAGCGACAAGTCGAGGTAAAAACCATGGTTTTGTACTAAAAACGACGTTGTCTTATTGTACTTTTTCTTTCATTATGTACAGAGACATGTATCTAATTCTTCAAGGCTTAACTCTCGCAGTTCTTGTCGATGAAACTCTCTGTTCTGAACCCTGCAATAGATTTTGACATCGATGCCTTATCTGCAAAACAGGTAACATAACTCGAAACCCTAACTAGACTCTCCTCCATTTCAGATTCACGATAAAAAAAAACCACCTGAATTTTCTGAAAATACAGTTTCAGGCTTGCTTCTCAAATCTTGGAACAATCTCGAAGCCATTAGCAATGGCGGGTCAAGCTTCGTTTCCGTTACAGCATCAAGGATCTCTAGATTTCCCCTTCACAGTTCCGAACCAAGAATCATCTCTCAACGCTGTAATCTCTCAGACACATCTCTGAAACATATAATTCCTGTTTCATATCTCTTCTTCTCCAAGTAACCTGCTCTTCGTCCTCTGTAATCTCTATGCTTTTTTTTGCAGAAATCTCAGCCCTCTTCAAGTTGGGAAACTCCATCAGGAAGCCTCTACAACGCATCTAGCATCGATTTCCATTACTGATGAACCATTATATATATGTATATATTCCGGTATATTAGATCAGTCAATACCAATACATTCTCATCTCATCAAAGTAACAAGTTCGCAAATCCGTTCTTGGAAAATCCAGACAAATATGTCTAGGCCGAAGGATTAGAGCCAATCCAGTGCTCTCGCGCCAACATCAATCTTTATATATGTATATATACATATATACAGAAAGGGGTATATTATAGGACTTTATCCAGAAGAGAAGAGAGATTCTGTGGTGCTAACAATTCCTTGTTGCATATACAATATCTTCACGAATCATGCGTTTCTCTCTTTTATCAACTTGTAAAATGCCATCTTTGTAATACCCCCATACTGTTTGATGGTTGCATCCATCACTAAGCCATTGAGAACCAATTTGCAGTGTACTATACGATTGATATATATATACATATATATATATATATATATATATATATATTTCTTAAACAAGTAAAAAGAAAGCAGCTTTCACTGTGGCAAGTGGGTGTATACGTTGTTTTCTCCCAATTTGTCCCACCAATAATCTGTGTATCTCTAAGCTGTTTGATTTTGACAACACCTACGACAAGATACTATATCTATCATGGCCTGCTTACACAATTTACCAATTGGGTTTCTTTTTTTCTTTCGAAAAATAGAATCTTTAGATGATGATCCCAATTCCAATGCTAGAAAATCTTCGTTTTTCTCGAAAGACGCAAATAAAAATCCGATTTTTTGTGGGGTTAAACGATGTGGGCAAGGAGACAGAAGTAGTAAGGGTTAAGAGATTGAAAAGCACAAGTGATACAACATGATAATCTGGTTGGTCTCTTATCCACTAAAAGCTCCCCATGAACTTTTGTCAAAATGAAGAACAAAAGGGCATAAATAAGTTGCAGGGTTCTGAGAACAGGAGAGCTAAGTTAAGGCACAAGTCAACAGTGAGCTACAACAATCTACAGACAAGGATCTCTTTTGTATTTGCTCAATTTCAACACCTCAGAAAATCAGAAAGAGCTTTCAATGATCTCTCACCCTTCACAAGCCGGTTTGGTATCAAAGCTGCTGATGCATATGGCAAAGGCTTGAAATGTCGAAAGAGGGTAACGATAATCCATGGTGAAAATGTCCTTCCCGATCTTCCCAAACTGTAAGATCACCCTCTCATGTTCTTCGGCTGGCACATCCAAAGACGGGTCGATATCTGCCACAAGCTGGAAATTCTTGACCGAAGCAACCGTAACCCTCCCTTTGAAGTTGAGGCACCAACACTGCAATTGCTCGTGCCATCTCGGGGATTTGTTCTTGAGAACCAGCTGCTTCTGGTCTATCAAGCTTGGAGAAATCACGGGTGTCTCTCCACTGCCCGTTAAGCTGGTTTCTCCTTTCGGCATAGGTGAGGAAGAGGCTTGGTCTTCTATGGTTTGAACAGATGATTCAGCGATAATAGAAGAGAGGGGTATAGAATCCATTACACAATGCATTCTCCTTGGCCCCCTTGTGCGAAGAACATTGAGCTCGTAGGTTATGGTTCCTACAGTGTAGTTAAATACGGGTATCTTGGGGGATGCTTGCTTGGGATGAATTCGTCGGTTCAGATGATTGCTCGGTTGGATTCGTGCTGTGGATGGTATTTGGCTGTCAAATATGGTGAACTTGGTTCCCAGAAAACCAGACCTGTCCGAGAAATACAAGCAGACAGTTAGAGCAGGAGCTTTGATGTTTGGACAGCAAACATAAGCAGACAGTTTTTCAGGGCAATGCTTGCCTTAGTTTACCAACATATGTGCTGCTGGTCCGTGAAAAGTTACTTGTAGAAAGGGAGATTATGAAATCTGTGCACGTCGCCCTTCTAATCCTTCTTGCCGCTAACAACAGTTTGTCGTTTTCACTCTCAGCTGAAAATCAGAAATCATCACAGTTGAAACACCTTTATTTCTTCAATACACCCATTAGAATTTTCATATGACGTAGTTTAAGGAAGAAGATCACTCACAAGGCATCAAGCCATAGAAAAGCAGATATGTAGATGTTGCTCTGTCCCTCTTAATAAAGCACTGAATGGGAGTGTCTCGAGGCCCCGGCTGCTTGCAAGCAAATTAGAATTAGATTTCAAGCAGAAAAAGCCAGAGAGAGAGAGAGCCCGAGAACATGATGAAGAAAGCTCTGAGGAAACCAGTCTCTTACGTACCTGTTTCAACGAGATTGGAAAAGTGAGCCTTCCGCAATGCTCTGGAATTCTCACGATCTCCTTGGTGATTTGTCTCCATGATCTACAAACAGAAGCACAAGAGACCACAGCTGCTCGAGCAGGCCAAGCAGTCTCGCTCTCTTCTACCCTCCGGATTATGTCAAAGAGCAATTCAGGTGGCACAGAAGCCCAAGGGCTCTGCGGGATAGTTTCCGATGGTGGCCCGGTTTGATCGGGAGCAATGTGGGACTTTGCTCGGCTACGCCTTGAGATGCTTCCTATTCCATCCCTCACCTCCTTCAGCTCTCGAAGGATGCTTTTCAAGGACATCTCCTTTCAGCATATCAAGCTCTCGCCCACTGTCCCTTCCCTACCAGACAATCACAATCCGTATAAGCTTCCTGTTTTTGTCATCTCATTCTTCTCCACTTACATTGACATCTTACATGGAAACCCGCAAACCAATCTGATCAGCATCGATGTGAAGGAAGAAAATCTAAAGCTTGGTACTTCCAGCGAAAAACGAGGGGCAAATTTCCAGTCAGAAATTCAAAATATTCTCATTTGCGCATGTATGTTAAATGGATCGTGATAAAGTATGATCTGCCACCAGTACCATCACATCTATACAGAGGCTGAGAAATTCGAGGACGAAGTCGAATAGTAAAAATTCGTTTTTTTCTTCGGTTCCCAAGAGTCATTCTTCGCAGGGCTCAGATCCATACAAGCATATATTCTTCTTAGGAACAACTCCAAACCAATCATATCGAATTTCCCATATTTGACAAACACAGCAGCAGATCCACAAAATTACGCAGAACAACACCTTAATCCGCAATGTAAACGACAATGGGGGCAAACATAACAGGAGAAAATAGAGAACCAACCTCGATGAGACGGATCTGAAGGACAAAAAGGAAGGGTATCGCCTCGAAGTACAGGTCTCTCTCGATCAAAGACGAACAGTGAAATAAGATCCGCGGCAGAATCTTCACCGGATCCGAGAACTGAATCTGAGAGGAAAAATTATGGACCTCGAACAAAAACGGAGGCGATCATCGCAGTTATTTCTCCGACTCCTCTACGCGATTCGTCTCCGGTAAAACGGAAGGATTCGCCGGAGATAGGCTTCGCATGACGACAACGGCCACCCGCCACCGGCTTCACCGCTCCGCCACCTCGGCCGCCGCGAACCAGACTTTGTTCGCCGGAGCAAAGGAGTTGTCAGCCAACGAATCTCTCTGTTCTTTAAAAGAAAATAAAAAAAGGATCCGAAGTCTCCGCTTTGTCTTATGGCTTTCAATGAAACGTAAAAACAGAGAATTAAAAATAAAAGTAAAAGAAAAAAGAAAAGAAATGACAGTAATGTGAGATTTTATTTAAAGAAAAAACGTTAAAATTTTATAATATTTAATATGCTATACTGTTGTTAATAGTGAAACTTTAATCGTTATTAATTTACTGCATGTGACAATTAAATCTTTGGTCAATTACGATTACGAATACTCCTGTCAGTGGACCATATTCAAACATGAATTTGCTGACATTTTAATTTCCTTTTACGGAGACTAATTTTATTATTGTGTAAACCCCCGCCCCAAGACCCAGAGTCTCTTAGCGACAATAGGTAGCATGAACAAACCAACTCGGATCGTTTTGGACTCGGTTCGTTTGGCTCAGATCGTTTTGGGTTCAACTCGTTAGACTCGTTTTCTAACGAATCAGAAAAACCTCGACTCAGATCGTTCGCCAGTTTTCCGATCTGAACGAACCGACTCGTTGAACCAGAAATATATAATATTTTTTATTTATATTTATTCTAAATTTAACTATAAATTTAAATAAATACATAAAAATTTAATAAAACTCCAATATCATTTAATATTTTCAATTATCATTATCATAATAATTAGAATATTTATAATATCATATAGATGATATAAAAAAAAAGAAATATAAAATTATATTAGAGTTTTTTTTATATAAATTTAATTTATTTTTAAATAAAAGTCAGCTCGTTAAGCAGCTCGCCAGTTCGCCGAGCCAGACTCATTGAATATGTTTTCAATGAGCTTGATTCGTTAGACTCGTTTTTTAATGAGTTGAAAAAATCACAACTCAGATCGTTTGTTTTCTGGCGAGCCACGGACCAGTTTACGAGTCGGACTCGTTTTGACACCCCTAATACACAGTATAAACTAATACATGAAAATGTACAATCCACAACTCACATATATGTTTGTGTCTGTTTGTCAAAACTAGAACAGAAATAAATAATGTTTTTTAAAAGATTTCCTATTGTTTATAAATAGTTTTAGAAAATTGTTCTTTTTTTTTTAATTATAATCAATAAGGTTAGATACTGGTGGGTGTGATGCATACACATATGGTGGTGGAGAAGACTGGTGATGGAGATTGAAGAACCTATACAAGCTATACACTCGAAGAATATAATCATTCACTTCAAAAGCTAAAACAAAAGGAATCAATTACAACCCAACAAGGGTTGCTTTCTTTTGGCTTGTGGAACCCATACATATATGTGCATAAGCACTCACAAAATATCTACAGATATATATATATACACCTAAGTTGTGTGTGATGTGGGTTTTGTGCGTATGATGATAAAAGAAAACATGATAGAGACTGATTTCAAACGTGTCTACTGTGACCATTGGGAATGGCGATTACGATAAGGCGGGAAGGGAAACCATACAACGCCCTCCGATTTCCCATATGCCAGCCTTGCATTGTCCCGATACCCTTTTTAATTTTAATTTTAATTTTAATTTTGTATCTCTCGTTGTAGATAGGGATGTCAAAACGAGCCGAACTCGCGAGCCAATTCGAGGTTGTCTCCTTTTTAACCGAGTCGAGCCAAGAATCTGAACCAAATAAAATGGGTTGAGTGACCCAGCTCGTCAACGAGTTAGTTCGGTCGGCTCGCGAGCTGGTTCGGGAGTTGGAGTAAAAAAAAATATTCTTACGTTGAAACCTGAAAGTGTTGATATTGTTGGTATGATATTTTGATTTGGAGATAATTTTTTTATACATGCATTCAGATCTAAAGATAATTTTTTGTACATGGATTAAGATCTGATTGTACATGGATGGATTATGATCTGAAATGGTTTTTTGTACATGGATGGATTGTGATTTTATCTATTTGAAGATGATTTTCTGTGCATGGATTGTGATTGTGAATATAAGTATGATTCGAATGTATTGATATATTCTTTATCATTTGGATATGATTTTATATAATTTGATATGGTTTTTTTAGGAATTTAGAAAAATATGAGCCGGTTCGGGAGCCGACTCGCGAGCTAAGCGATTTGAGCTGAACCAGAAATTTTCTGGTCTAAATAAAAACGGACTTAACGAGCTGGGCTCAAAATAAACTGGCTCGAAACGGGTTGGTCCAAGTCGGCTCGTTTGACATCCCTAGTTGTAAGTGAGTTGATATGTAATCAAAACTCAGCTATACATCACTTCCCTCCAAATACAAACTCACTATGCATATATTATGGATAAGGTGTAGGAGCCAAAAGCCCTTTTATGTTCAACATAGTAATTTACTTGATCTCATCTCTCTTGTAATCATTCACAACACACAACCAGTAAGAAACATCAGTGATGATTCACTGTAATTTCTCACTAAATGGATCTAGATGGGGATAATACAAGTTTCAACTGAAAGAATCCGATCAAATTGCTGTCTCAGATAACATTCAAAAGAACAGCGAAACGAAACCAAATCAGAAGGAATTAAACTTGAAATGAATCAACGAGAAGCTAGCATCGAAATGAAGCAGACGAGAAGGATGAAGAAACCAACAACCCATATCCAGATGAACCACATCTTCTTCTTCTTCCTGTTCATCATCTGATTCGCGTAAAACAGGCTGTTGGTGCCACCGCTCATGAAGCTTCCTGCTTTTGCAACATTGGCTTCGATGTCATCTATCTTGTCTCCTTGAGTCTCCACAAGAACAGCCATGTCGAGGATCACCTGATGAAGCCTGTTCAAACTCCTCTTTATGTCGTTCACCGCCTCGTGCCTCTCTTTCGTCTTCGGATCCATTTCCGGGTTCACTTCGAATGTTCTCACCGACCCAGATCCTGAGATCATCCTGTCTATGGCCTCGTTGCTTGGTTCTTCGCCCGTCGCTAGAAAGTACTTTCTTTTGAGATCTTCTTTGTAATCGGCAAAGATTCTCTCCCTCAGACTGCGGAAATCGTTCATCATGTCTCTGAGTTTGACTCTGAGTCCATTCGTTATGGAAGTTCGTGTCCGATCGACGCAAGATCCTTCCTTGAACGCTCGAGACACTTCTCTGTTCGAGATGTTGATCTTGTCGAGAGACTCGAGCCGTGTTTTCACTGTATTGGCCTTACGCGAGATCGCGAAGATGTCGGATTCCATTCTGTCTCTCAACCCACGAAGGATTTTGGTGCTGTGAGTGGATTTGGTCTCTTCGTTGAGGTTTTGAAGATTCAACATGAGATGAGTGATCTCTTCGATTAGGGTTTTGACTGAATCCACTTCTTGGAAGAATCCCGAGAGGTTCTGCTCATCTGCAGGGCTGAAATTGAATTCCCCCTTCTCGATGTCGTGTTCTTCTCCAGATTCCATATCCTTCCTTGCCTGTTTCTTCAGTTCCACATAACTTAAGAACGACTTTGTCATGAGATCGTTCATCTTCGCAGTGAAATCTGAAAAACCCTAATGTGAAAATCGATCAAGAAAGCACGAGGAATACAGAGAATCAGAACCGAAATTCAAACAAACGAGGAAGAGGAAAAGGTCGTACTCTGTTTTCAGGAGCGAATTATAAAGTTCTCAGGGGAAAAAGAACTGAAGTCACTGCGAAGATAGAGAGATTGATAATAAAATCAGCAATGGATGAAAGGCCAGAAACCCTAACAAGAACAGAATCTGGCAGAGGAACAGAGGAGAAATGCAGAATCTGGCAGAGAACAGAGAAGAAGAACTAACCTTGAACTGATTGCCGCGCAAGAAAACTCTCCTTCAAACGCCCTTCCTCTCCTCTCTCTCTGTGTGGTGATTTTGCGAGAATGATGGAAAAGCTCGAAGGAAGAGAAGGAAGAGGGAAGTTATAAAGAAGATCTGAAGGGGTGGGATTATTCAGTTACGCTATTTTTTCAAATTCCCGGCTTTTTATCACTTGACTAGCCGTTGTTTCAAGAGAGACTCCCGTTTCTTCCGCACACGGAAACGGCGTCGTTTCAAACATAAACTAGTCAATTATTTAGAAAAGAAACGGTGTCGTTTCAGACTTCATACGATTTATTGGAGTTTCTTTCTGTTGCCCTTACAACATGTTTACACCTTTCCGTGAATTGATGAAGAAGAAAACGTGGTTCCTCAGTGTTTATTACAATGATTCGGTGGGTTCTCTCTGTCTCTGGGCATTCTCCGCTTCTATCTTCCTTAAAGTACTTGAACTTATCTTGTCCTCGCTCGATCCTTCAGACAATAGATCTACAACCTCAATCTGCACAAGCATGTCGCCTCATGAGTTCACGAAGGAAAAAAACACGAAGAACAAGATCGTTTGGAGACAATCAGATCAGGCCGACCGATTAAAAAAAACAGACCTTTAATTGCGAGAGCCCTCTTTCTGCTCGTTTTCTGTTAACGGATAGTGCACCTGGTAGTGTCTCCTTGCTGCCCAAGACCCAGAAGATATGGAGAAAGAGCATCAAAACAGATCTCTCAATCCAGACCGAAACTAGGTAAAAGATTGCATTTTTACGAATGAAGCAGATGTCGAACCTGACAACAATGGCCTCCAGATCTTCATCAACGATCGACGGGCCATATGGATCGGTAATGGGTTCTGCTTGTACAGCAAGCTGGGGCTTGATAGACTATGCAAGCAAGAGAAGTTAGAACAAAAAGCTTCATTTGGGAATCTGACATAAACTTCATCTTTGTAACATTCACATAAAGGCATATAACTAAAATTTCTGGTTTGACTCAGTTTATCTCATCATCCTCATTTTCCAGTTAGCCTAATGATCGACAGACAAGAGGCTAATGAACAATTGGAAGCATCTCCCTCCCAAACTGCTGTGTCCTACTGATAGAAAGCAATGAGACATGATCAAAGAAGAGGCCTGCGGCTAAACAGAAAAGGATATGTATCCGCAATTACCTTGACATAATTGTCCACATTCTGCATCCTTTCTTTTATAGGTTGTATCAGTTCAGAGAGCTGCACACACACACACGCGCGCGCACAAAGTAGGCATCTTCTTAGAAAAGAATCCAAACACAGGGGCAATGAAAACTACACAAATGCAGCAATTTCAGCTTCAAGTCAGATATGAATTGGATACAGAAATCTAATACTCTTCCATCTCCTCTTGAACAAAACAAATTGATCTTGTGAAGCATGAATAAGGGTATTCTAAAAATCGCACAGCTTTATGAATCGATAGCCAAAACGTGTTCATTCTTATACAAACAGAAAGATCTCATATGAACAATAAAATCTGCCAAGTTTCCAGTTTGGGTATTGACTCTTAAGCAAAATGGTATAGAAGAAGCTAATAACGCTTAGACAAAAAGGGAAATCAACAATAGGTTCAAAGCTAATACCTGTTTGTTCTTCAACATCGGCCCATCACATACTCCCACCACAACCCGATCCCTCGCCACCTCCGCCGCCGCCTAAAATCTTTTCCATCCCCATGAACATTCTCGACGTCTGCGTCTAGTTTCAGAAAAAAAAAAACACCAGAAACAGATAACGAAGAGAAGCCCATTACCTTGAGGAAAAGCCGATGCCCGTCGTGCAATCTATCGAATGTGCCGCCGAGGACGACAGCACTGTACGAATTCGATGGAGACACCGTCGGATCCTTCGCCGCCGCCGGATCATCTGCCACCGCCATTTTCGGAAACCAGAGAAGGATCGAGGACACTTAGTGTCTTAGAAACCGAGAATTACGCGTTCTTCAGATTCAGATGATCCTCTCCAAGGTTTTGATGGATGGTGGGTGAAGACGACGGTGAGGCAGTAGGTAGATGCACTGGACTGGGCCTGTCTCAGTGGACCCCATTTAAATTTCGTTTATAAACGTACCGAGAATATAAACTAACCGGTTCGATCCGGTTTATCAAGAAACGTGACAAATTGCAACCGGTATTGCCTTAAAGTCTGGTTTTCGATGGTATTTATACCGATCTGGTTTACAAGAATCCTGAACCACATTCAGAATCAATCTTAACTCCGAAAAAAAAAATTAAAAGGATTCTGTTTGGAGCTTGAAGTCAAAGCAACAGTGAGAAGGGGTTTTCCTGTCATGTTTCTTGCGTTGCGGCGGCGAAGCATTCTTGCAGGAATGCATGAAGATGCGAGGAGGACAAGTCGGGGAAATTCCGGTAGGGATCC